TAATTCAAATTTAGTTCAATTTTAACCAAAAAATTTGTGTAGAAGTACAGCTTAGGTAGATTCCACAATAATTTTGCATAGAAAAACTTACAGAATTTTGTTATATAAAATTATTTCAACGTTTTGTTATAAATAAGTTATGTTCCACATGCAATCCACATACGTTCCACATCGAAATTTGCACCAAATTTATCCGAATATTGTTTATATGTACAAATGCATATATTTAAGAATAATACACCAATATATTTTTCTTTGTAACTTACATTTTTTTATAAGAATATGTAATTTTCATATACAATTTACACAACTTTACAGATTAGATTTCAACGTCTTTGAAATCAATAGGTCTTTTCAAGAGATTATGAGTTTTATACTAGTAAAAAATTTTTCTTTTGAAAATATTTTCCTTTTATAAAAGCATATTTATTTTCACACATTTAAAAAGAAATTTGCCAAAATTTTCGTCAGATTATAAAAGGTAAATATTTTCTAATTAAATAATTATATGACAATAATAAATGCTAATTCGCTTTTATACACAGCCTCCCCATAATACAAACCAATATATACGCTAAAAAGAAGCGAAGTCAAATAAATTTATTTTTACTTGCATTTAATCTTAATTTTTTCCCACAAACCACCTTGGCAATGAACATTGAACTTGACATTGTGACTTGCATTATGAGGTATGTAGCAAAAAAAGTGTTTGTGTGAATCACAAAAGTACACAAAAATAATGGGAAGTAAAAGAAAATGTGCAAAACATATGCAACGACACACATTTGAGCATACATACGTATGTATGTATGTTGGTATGTGTGGATAAAAGTGCATGCCGCGCGTCTTCAAAGGCTAATTTGTCGTTGGTTTCGTAAGCGTCCGAGAGAGACTTAGAAAAATATAGAGAAAATTTCTCATAAGCGTTAACATTACGGACTTGACTCACTGGTGAGTTGAATTCGATTCATTTACATATGTATGAAATATTACCGTAATATAATAATTAAATTGTATTTAATTTATTTAAATTATTTGCTTATTTTCCTCTCTGCTAATTTCCTGCATAATTTCAACACCGCCAACGTCAATGAACTACAAATTTATTTCATGTGTGACGCGTAGTAAATTTACTCATTTAGAAACAGCTGGGCGTATGAGTAACATAAGTTGTACCATAAGAACGGGGGGGAAAATAAATTAAAAATTAAATAAAAACTAATTAAACGTGGAAGAAATCTTGACAGACTACCAAGCAATGTGCATTTTTTTTTTTGTTTATCTAATCAAATGAATGTTGTTAAAGCTATAAAAAGATTATGTACAAACTGTCATAAAATATAAGCAAGGGCCATTAACTGCAGATTAGCCAGCAGATTATGCGCAAAATTAGACGAAAAATATAATTAAATTTTATCAACATTCAATTTCTGATTAAAAAGAATATGAATTTTCTTCAATTTATAGTGTCAGTATTATTAAATTGATGAAGTACAACTAAGGTAGTTTTCACAATGATTGGATAAAAAAAATTGTAGAGTTTTGATCAAATGCACTATTTTAACATTTTATTATAAAAAAATTAGGTTCCACATATGTTCCGCTTACAGTCCACATACGTTCCACAACAAAATTAACACCAAATTTATTGCAAACAATGACAAACTTATATCCACAGACATATTTATGTGCTTCAGGATACTATATCAATATGTTTTGCTTTATAAATATTTATGTAAAAGTTAAGCCGTTTTGGCTGATCTCGCTGCTATCAAATATCAATACAATTGCAGTAATCTATCACTAAGTGTCCATCATTAGCAGGCAGCTGCCGACAATATTTTTACCATACACATATGTACATATATATTCTACATTTTTAACTTACTATCCAAGCAAGTGTTGTTAATATGAAATTCAAAACGTTAAATGCATAATTTCGACGTATTCCACATATTTTCTTTCTTTACTAAATGTTATAACATTTAAAATTACTATTTTAAATAACAAATGACCTCATTGTATTTTAAGAATTACTTCAAAACTGAGATTTATTCTCCATAAAGTCTACATGCTATCCATTTCATTTTTCAATTTGTGCTTTTATTTTAGTAGTTTCATCGTTTTAATCAAAAAACTCATCTATTAAATACAAGTTCCACATAATATCCACTTACATTCCACATAAAAACTATGCAGAATTATAACATTTACTCGAAATTTATGTTTTTGACTAACACTTTCGCTAACTTCCATTGACTATTGAAAGAAAATTTTTACTCCAGCCATGACTTTCCAAATAAAAGTCTTTAAAAACTTTATACAGAAATATACATTTTATATAAAAAATAGTTATTTATAATATTTTAATTTCGAAAAATATGCTATTTGATTAAATAAGTCGGGTTTTTAATTAAAACACTTTTAAGATTAAACATCTGTTAAACACTTTTGAATTACTTAAAAAAAAATTAAAAAAATTAACTGAGAAACAAAAGTTCCACATATGCTCCACATCAGATCATCTTCTCTTCCACCTGTGTTAAACAGTTTTAAAATACTATCAAAAAAGTAACTGAAAAACTTATGTTCCACATAAAATCCACTTACGTTCCACCTACTAATGAAAGTTATTTCTGGCTTTCAACTGCGTTTTTGAAATGAAACTTTATTTTTCAGAAGATCTTATCAAGAAATAGACTTTTATTTGGTTTTCTGTTAAGCAATTTTTATTGAAATTTCTATAATAAAAGCTTTAGAACTATTTTTGCTGCGATTTTCACTCATTTCTTTAAGTGTAAATCAGAGTAAGAGAACGAACACTTTCCATATTGCTTAACACAGCTTCACGAGTATAAGCAAAGGAACAAAAGACGTTTGTAAATGAAATTGTATTGTTGATAAGATTAACTGACAATTGAGAAATAATAATAAAAAAGCGCTATTTCATGGAAATTTTTATCTTTGATGTGCCTGCAATTCAATGTACGTACATATATACATATATGAACAACATTACGAGTACACTTTGTGAGTTATAAATTGCTGCTATGAACACGCGACAGACAGACATCTGTAGCTCAGTACCTAAATGTGTGTGTATTTCAAGAATATGATTGCATAGTATCAATATTCACATACGTCTGGAGCACAGTGATTGTTAGAAGTTTATAAATTTGTATGTACTATATATTAAAATGCCCTTTATATGGAAGTTAATAAGAAATTTATGTAAATATATTTGTCTATATGTGTCTATATATACATATAAGTGCATTGTATATTGCATTGTATATAATACATATACATATCAGATTTGTAAATAATTCAACAATAAATGCCGTTAAGTATGATAATAATTCGTACAGCTGTTTTTCCAGCGATAATAATAAACAAGTGGATTGCAATTGGAATATTCGCGCTCATATTAATTTGCCAATTATCGATAGATATGTGCGTCATTCAAAAAATTTATCATAAGTCAAGTGATCGGCTGCATTTGTAACCAGTACGGTTAAATATATATATGTACATTCACACATACACACATACATATGTGTGTATTTGCATCTGTGTTTCAGCTTTAAATGCAAGTGGAAGGATAAACATTTTGTTATAACCACTTATGAATGTTGCAAAAACGCAACAAAGTACATAAGTCTACGTATTGTACTTGTACATACATATGTATTACAAGTAATAGGAAGTGTAAAAAAAATTTATAAAATAAACATATTATATTAAATTTGCCTTGTCGATGCGAATTAGTGCATTTTGTATGCAACTAAGTTATGTTCCACATACATTCTACTTACGTTCCACATGAATTCCACATATTTTTAACAAATTTCTTATTTTATAAAAGAGTTTAGCGAATAATTATGTTAACTAAATTAAGCAAGGCATTTAAGAAACATATGTGGAGATTAAATTATTTTGCATAAATTTTGTAGCTTCATTTTCGAAATTTATATTCGTCATAAGAATTTAACAAAAATTTAAAATTATTTTTTTTCACAAATATTTAATATAAATTTCTTCACAAAAATTTAATATTATTTTTATTTACAAATATTTAGTATTATATTCTTTCACAAATTTTTTATATATTTTCTGATATATTTATTTTTTGTTTTCAAAACAATTTCATTTTTATGTTTTCCAGAAAACTTTAATACAATTTTTTCACGAAAAATTGATATATGCTTAATTTTTTGATATCGTATTTACACAATATCTGAAGTGAAATGTATTTATTTCAAAAATATAATGTTTATAATCTCGCCAACTAAAAAGCAAATATGAATAAAAAAATATGTTCCACATACGTTGAATGTTGAATGTTGAAAAAATGCAACAAAGTACATAAGCCTACGTATTGTACATACATTTTGTAGCTTCATTTTCGAAATTTTTATTTGTCATAAGAATTTAGCAGTCTAATTTTTTTTACAAAAATTTAATAAAAAACTTATTTATTAACATTTATTATTTATTACAAAAATGCAATGTTCATAACCTCGCCAACTAATAAGCAAATATGAATAAAAAAAAATATGTTCCACATACGTTCAACAATCATTATATTAAATTTTATTTGAATTATATGCGAAATAGTGGCAGCTAGGAGTAAATTAACAGATTTTGCTTGCCAAAAATTAAGTTCCAAATACGTTCCACATGTTTTATATAATATATTAATTAAGTAATGCTCGACATAGCCTAATGTGACTAAATTGACAGACATTAATCGTCAAAACTTATGTTCCAAATGCGTTCCACATAGTTTAAATTGAATTCTGTGACGCAAAAGCATACTACAGCACATCACAGAAAGGCACGGACGCACAAAATAAGACTACATTAACGAAACAAATTTTCTACGCGGAATACATACATATGTACACATATATTAGTTTTGTATTAAGTACATATATTTTATTTATTTTAAATTCCATAGAAACTATAAAAATAATATAGTAATTAGCTACTCAACGCACATCTAACATGTTGACTGCTTTGGAATGCCACAGATTCTTGAAAGGAAGTTCACAGGCGAAGTTTTTCACTTTATAATTTTTTTCTTTTATTGAAAGATTTTATCAATATTTCGAAAAATATAGTTTTGTATTAAAAATATTCTAAGCTTCATCCACACCACAATATTTTTATTCTAATATTTTCTTATATTTTTTTTTATTAAATTTAAATGTTGTTTCAAAAATTCCATATAAATTTATTTTTTTAATTTTTTTTTAATTTTTTTTAATTTTTTTTTAATTTTTCATTAATTGCGTTTTTACTTAAAAAACATTTTAGCACCATTCACATTAATTCCTACGCGAAAACTGAATTCATTTAAAGTGATATTTTTAATACGCAGCCTCCGGAAAATACTACAGTAGCAAAAACAACTAATCCCTTATCAGAAATGTTGTTTTTGTAAAAGTAATCTAATTCATAGCAGATTTGGATTAAAATTATGATTTGTGACTAGAACAAATGTAAAGTTCAAAAATATAGTTATTATCTAATTTCTTTTGTTTAACTTAACGCTATGCAGTTATGGAAACAAAAATAAATAAAACTAAACATTTGATGAGAGTTTATCAGTACAAAATATACTAAATATTAAACAAATAATATAGTATTGTTGGGCACTTAATATTTACGAGAACTATTACAGCGAAAACGTGAGATGGGAAGTTAATAAATTTAAATAAAAAATAAAATAGAAAAAATTAAATAAATTATTAATAATTAATGTTAAATAAAAAAAAATAAATATACAACTGTTTTATTTAAAAACAAAAGCGTAAAAAAGCTTCTAAGACAGAGTTTGGCTCGGGCTGACTAATTTTTTTGTTTAAAATTTTTTTTTAGAAATGAGAACAGTTGGAATGTATCACATATCTACATTCCACTTAAAATATTATTATTTTGGGTATTTCATTTTCCAAATTATGTAAAAATAAAACCTCTGAGTCACTTTTTTATCACAAAAAAAAATGTCAAAATTTGTTCCAGCTCTAATTTCAGGGTATATGTATTATATGTATATGTATATGAAATCACACCTGTGCAGGCAACTGAATTTCATATGTACATAGATATGGGTTTATAATAGATAAATATTTCTGTTTTTATCAATCAATAGGCACGAATTACAACGAGGAAAAATAAAAAAAAACTAACCTTCACATAGTTCGATAAAACAAATATGTATGTATATATGTAAGCAAATAATGATAATTGTTTATATAAACCTAATTAAACAATTATTCACATAAGTGCGTTAACATATGTATGTTGTATTATTTACCTAAAATTCATTACATATATGCATACATCGATATACATATGTATGTACATATATGTAAATCGTAATGAAATTTTAGCATTAAATAAATACTCATTTAACAGATTGTCCAAACAGAAAGTATCTTATCATTGCTATCAGTTATTTATGAGGTGGTTTTCTGCCGCAAAATGCGTTTAAATAGCGTAAGTGCACTAAATTATGTACATACATATGTATTCGCTCAAAATTGCGTGTGCGTGTGAAGGTAGGCGGTTTAAAAAGTCGCTTAAATGGTGTCATAAAATATGAAAACATATGTCAGGTGTGTTGGCAATGAATTATGAAAATATAGATAATATTTGTAACTATTTTTTATTTTTAATTTTTCATGTTTTTCAAATTATTCTGTTTTTCTCTTTTAAAATTTTATTTTCATATTTTAATAATTTTTTTTATTTTTTTTATTTATTTATTTATTTTTTATTTATTTATTTATTTTTTATTTATTTAGTTTTAGTTTTTATTTTTTTTTATATTTTTACTTTTTTTGTATATATTTAGAGTCAGGTATGCCGGCAATTATGGAAATAATATTTTTAATTCCATTATTTTAAATATTATTTTTTTGTATCTTTTTTAATTAATTTTATTTATTTTCTCTTTTCTTTTTTTTTGTAATTTTATTGTTTTTTAAATTTTTTTATTTATTCAAATATTTTGATTTTTGTAATTCTTCGTATCTTTATATTTTTTTGTATATATTTAGAGTCAAATAAAATAATAATATTTTTAATTTCATTATTTAAAATCATACTTTTTTATATCTTTTTTAATTAATTTTATTTATTCTCTCTTTTCAATTTTTTTTATACGTTTATTGTTTATTATCTTTTCAACAATTTTTTTATTAATTATTATTAAATTTATTAATTTTTTTTATTCTCCGTATCTTTATTATTTTTTGTATATATTTAGAGTCAGGTGTGTTGGCAATAAATTATGGAAATTATATTGTAAATTTCATTATTTTAAATTATATTTTTTTCATATCTTGTTTAAGTTATTTTATTTTTTTCCAATTTGTTTTTCATGTTTTTTAAATGTTTTTGTAATATTTTAATTTACTTTATTTTTTAGCTTATCTCTTCTTAAATTTTTGTTATTTTTTATTTACTTTTTTTTTGTAATCCTAACTTTTTTTAAAAAATCTTTTCAATTCTTTTTTCATATTTTAATTATTTTTTTATGTATTCATTTTATTTTTTTTCCTAATTTTAATTTCATTTGTTTTTCTTGTTGAAGTTTCTTATTTTCTCATGTTTTTGTCTTTTTTATCCTTTTCCCATGTTCCATTATTTTCAGTTTTTTATTTTATATTGCCTTTTCTCTTCACATATTTTTAAGTAGATATTTTACTTCTTTCTCTTTTTTAATTTTCTCTTAGTTTTTCATATTTTTTTAATTAAACGTAATTTTTATTATTTATTTATTTTTTATTATTGTTTTCCTAATTTTTATTATTGTTGTATATCTTTTTATTAATTTTTTTTACTATCATATTTTCATATTTCTTTTTAATATTTTTAATTAATTTTACTTATTTTTTTTCCTTTATTAATTTTTAATATTTTTATATTTTTTTTAGTAATTTTTTTCATTTATTTTACTTATTTATTTTTTCTCTGTTCTAATATTGTCATTTTTGCTATTTTTTTTATATTTTCGTAGTTTTTAATTTATTTTTTTCTCTTTTAATTATTTTTTAATATTTATTTCTTTATTTTTTAAACAATTAACACAACTTCTATATCACCGTTGCCAAAAAAAATTGGTACATTTATGTCGCATGTTAATTCTCGCACGTGATATTGGCCAATAATTTTGCATTTGCATGACTACATACATACATACAAATCGCGCTTGAAAATTGCTTATCATTATGAATTTATTTTTGTCACAAGCCTGTTGAGCCACTTCTACAGCTTTAACTACTTTTTCAATATTTATTTTAATAAATTATGTTGGTTTATTTTATGTGCATGGGGTATACATAGATATATATGTATGTATGCACATATAATTATACATATTTTTATAAAATCTTTTTTTATTATTTTATTTATTTTTTGTTTGGAGCCGAAACACTTTAAAACTAGCATAGCAAGTATCATAAGACAGCATATTTAAAGATACTTATACACATATGTGTATATTGTATAAGTACAAAAAAATTTCTGTAATTAATGTACGTCTCATGACAGTATTTTTTTTAATATTTTTGTCGCACATGCATGTGATTAAATAGTGAACTTTCTTTGTATTTTCCTTCAAGATGATAATTATGAACCGTTCACACAGTCACTCGATTAGCTAATTTACCAATTAAACTACTAATTGCAATAAAATTAATCTAATAAAGATTTTAAAAGATATTAGCTTTATAGAAATGTGAACAAATTTGTATTACCTGCTATTATTGTTGTGAAATTACACATGCAACCCTGTAAAATAGTTTTAATGAATGGAACAGGCAAGTGTGTAGAAAAATAAAATGTAAAAAAAGGAAAAAATGTGGTGTGAAGTAAATTTTGAATGAACTTTGAATTAGAACTTCAATATTCGTTAAGTATCTGAATTTCCCAGCCAGCTTTAGCTGAACAATTGACGGATAAAGAGTTTTAGGACCTTCATGAATTTTAAAAAATTATTAAATTATTTTCTCAAGAAACTAAAAGAGTTACATATTTTCTTATCACACTTTCAATTAAAGAAGTTATAACTGTCAAACAGTAATTATTTCCACTTAATTGAGCATGTGTGAACAGATAAATATGTAGCGCAATTTGCTCGAATTTTCCCAAAAGCAACTGAAATTAGTATGACAGATGTCAAATATTAATCATTTCGCCTGAACACCAGTTTCAGTATCGAAATTTATAGCTGAATTACCTCAGCTGCTTTCTTTTCCGAAATTTGCCACAAACAATAAAAAAATGTGCATATCATAGCTGCCAAACATTTATGGTTCAATTTAATTGAGTGCGTGTGTGAACACCAAATTCAGTGCCGTAATTTAAAACTTAAATTGAGTCGGCTGCTTTTCTTGTTCGAATTTTCCCACAATCAATTGAAATTAGTATGACAGATGTCAAATACTAAAGGTTTCGCCTAAACTAGGTATGTATGAATCCAATTTCAGTATCGTAATTTAAGGCTGAATTGTCTCGGCTGCTTTTTTTCCGAAAATTTCCACAAGCAATTGAAAATAGTAAAAATAGTATGATATATGTTAAGCAATAATGGTTCCAACTTAATTGAGTGTGTGTGTGAACACAAATTCAGTGTCGTAATTTAACGCGGAGTTTTCTGAGCCGATTTTCTGGCCTTAATTTTTTCGCAAGCAATTAAAAAAAGTATGACAGTTGTCAACTTTCAGGGGGTTCTATACTATTTTAAAAATTACCAATATAACATCTCTAAATTGAGCTTTTATGTATAGAGTAAATATTTTGTAAAACAACAAAGCTTCACTAAAACTGCATATCTAATAAAAAAAATTTAACTCATAGATTTTTAAAGTTTCTTTTTTGACATATTTCTGCTGACAATAGAATATTTATTTATTTATTTATTTCATTTCAGTACACTCAACGCTTTATTGCTTCTACATTTTCTACTTTATAAATTAAAGAACAACCTAAATAACTTATGTACGAACATATGTACGTACAATGCAAACAAGTTTCACACTTTTTACTTAATAAAGTCAATATACATATATATACAATATTTATGTA